TTTTCTGTATTTTTAAGAGTTAATGTAAACATGAGTTACTCAGTTTTTTAAATAATAAAAAAAAAACTTCTTGAATCAGTCTTCTACTATCACTATGAATCTGTTAGAATCTGTTATTATTATGTATCTTAACAACTACTCCCTCCTATTTTAAATAAATGTCGTTTTGACTTTTTTGATTCATCCATTTTGCTATGTATCTAGACATTAATTTAAAATAGATACATAGCAAAATAGATGAATCAAAAAAGTTAAAACGACATATATTTAAAATATGAGGTAGTAATTGATAGAAGTAAAATATGAGACGATTGTCCAAAAATATATTGATAGAAGTAAAATATGATCACTATGGCTATGTTGGGTAGACAAATAAGCTAGTTTATAGCTTATTTGGTTAGCTTATAAGTTCCTTGTATTCAAATAAGCCTTGTTTGGTAGGACGAGCCTTTTTAAAAAGCTCGAGCTTATTTGATAAGCTTCCTTAGGTAACTTTTCAAATAAACTAGTTGAATTTTCTATTCTTGCTAGCTTATCAGCTAATTTTACCAAACACTTTTATCATATAAGCTAGCTTATCAGCTATATGTCATAAGCTATAAGCTATAGGCTATGTTTGGTAAGCCAAATAAGCTAGTTTATAGCTTATTTAGTTAGCTTATAAACTCCCTGTTTAAAATAAGCCTCGTTTGGTAGGACGAGCTTTTTTAAAAAGTTCGAGCTTATTTCATAAGCTACTTTAGGTAGCTTTTCAAATAAGCTAGTTGAATTTTTATTTCAGCTAGCTTATCAGCTAATTTACCAAACATCTTTTATCATATAAGTTAGCTTTTCAGCTATAAGTCATAAGCTATAAGCTATAAGTTCAAAAATTACATATAAACTATAAGCTAGCTTATCAGCTATCAGCTAGTTTTACCAACATAGTCATAAGCTAAAAAATTACTGATAAGCTATAAGCTAGATTATCAGCTATCAGCTAAATTTACCAGGCCTAAGAATAAAGAAACAAATATACTTGATCAAAACTCCTACAATTCCTGTTAGGACTATTTTTTTTTTTTTTGGTAAAACCATGACAGGATGAGAAACTCATTAATTGCAAATGATATTTAAACCCATTTGTAAGAGAGAGAAATAGTAAATAGAAAAGCAAGAGATATATAGTAAATAGAAGAGCAAGAGAGCGTTCGTTGTACCTATGCCGTTGTCTGACCTCTCCATTTCAACTGAAGCCATATTTTCCCGTCATATGTCCTGTTTCGCAATTCCAACTGGTCTGTCCACTGCACGAGCTGCCCATCGACGTGAACTTCTTCCAGATCGACGTTCTTGTTTGCAAGCAAGATGTTTAACTGAAACTCCGAGAGCCTGTAGTACTTCCTGTCTGACTCTCTCACAAGCCTACCACCCCATATGCGGCTCGGTCGACAAACACGAAACAAGCCATTCGTAAACTCCAAGTACCAAGACGCCGTGCGACATTTACAAGTATCAACATTCAAGTTCCGCACTACCACAGGCGGCTCGTCACCGAGAACAGCACTACAGGGGACATCCTGAGGGCCGCCGTCCATCTCCAGACACAGAGAAATCTCAGACCCACTTAATGCCTTGAGCACTCGTCTCAGCTCAAGGGACCACAAATTGGCGTCGAAATCGGGATCATCCTCATACGATGAGAGGAATATTAATGAGTGCCACACATTGGAAGTAGTGGTCGTGAAAGAGAATGTGTCCGGCACCTGGGGAATACGGGCATTGAACATAAAACCGTGAATGTTTGGGGCACAAATCGTAACTCCTTTAAGCGGTATTTTCTGTGTCGAGATTCTCAACCACTTGACCGAATCACTTGCAAGATGGAATTCCTCGAAACCGGAGCAATTATGTAGGGTCAAGCGCGCAAGAGTTGGGCAGCGGAACGAGAACAGGTCGAACGACTCGCTCGACAGGATCACACTCTGGAGATCCAAACTCGTGAGACGAGAGAACAAGAATGCGCTTTGGCATTGACACCAAATCCATTGGCCATGGATAGAGATCTTCTCGAGATTCGGGACATGGATTTTGATGCTACGCCCTCCGATCCTCTCGAAATCCGACAATACAAAGTGCTTGAGCCCAGGCGATGCCTCCTCGCTCACCCTAACGTTTCTCAACTCCCAACAACTATAAAGGACCAGGCACCTGAGCAAAGGGCAGCCCAACATTTTAGTGTCAAAAGTGCGGCCATCAACTTGGACCCGTTCGAGGGTGAGCTTGAGCAAAGTTTTAAACCGCACGCTCTGGACCGGGCTCAGCCTGCATTTGCACAGGTGTAATTCTTCGAGGGACTCGGCTAAGAACACTGCCGAGGGCAGGTCGTAGTACGGCGGAGTAAATGAATAAAAGTGGAGTTTGAATGCTTTTATGTTGAGGGCGGCTATTATCGGGATCCATTTGTCAAGAAGGGAGATGATCGGTCGTGAGTTGGGGCTGTATAAGTCAAGATGGAGTTTGTGTATGGAGAGGTTCTGATCAAGGTAACCTTGTAGGGTTCGGTTGACTACGGAGACAAAGTTTTGTCGTGTAATGTTGAACAATATTTCGGAAGAGTCGAGGTTGAGGCGAGTTGATCCTTTGCAGAGGAGGAGAGAGAGAATGCGGTGCAGTATGGAGCGCGTTTGATCACGGCAACGTTGTAGAGCTCGGTTGATGACGGAAACAAACTTTTCTGGTATGTCGTCGAACCATTCTTCGAAAAGTTCGAGGTTGGGGCGGGTTAATCCTATGTGGCGCCATTTTTTGGAGAGTAGACAAGTTCTCACAGCTTCTTTCTGTGAGATGAAACATAGTATGTGGTGAAGTATAGGTATTGGCAACTGGGATATTCTGTCGTCCTCCATTGCTACTCTTTTTTTTTTTCTTCTGTTTTTTTAAGAGTTAATGAGTTACTCAATTTTGTAAATAAAAAACTTCTTAAATCAGTCTTCTACTATCACTATGAATCTGTTAGAAAAAAAAAAAATAGTTAGAGGATGAACCAATAGTTTGTTAACAGGTAAATAGATTTAAATGCGCAGATATCTGATAGTTTGTTACACAGATTTTATGTCTACTCAAATAGTTTGTTACACAGATATATGTCTACTCAGTCTCAATTTTTTTTTGATACGTAGCAATTTATTTATTGTTAGCAAACTTTTAACCATAAGAGGACAAATTTGATCAGTGTTCAAACTACCGTTCTATGCAGACGAGAGGGAATTTAATAAATAAATGTTATTCGTACTTATCCCAACACTCTTAAATAAAGATTTTTTTGTTTTATGGGATGCACGGAAACAATATTAAATTAACAATATTATAAATAAATCTTGAGTTTGAGTCAGTCAATGGCGGAAGTGGAAACTACTATTAATTATATTTTGATTGGTCAGAAAAAGTGTGTATTTTATATATTTATTAGCGTATTTTTGTATGCTAAATTTTATCGCACTTATATTTTTTCTTCGACTTATTTATTTATTAGATGGATTCAAGTGTTATGATATTTTTATTGTTTACTTTCAGGATATTGGAAATTTTTAGTGGACTGCGCCACACAGAACGAGATTTGAGTAGGCCAATATGAGATATCTAATACCAGCCCGAGTTCGGCTTGTCATTCGTCTAACTTCAGAATAGTGGATTAGAAAAAAAGGCCTAATATTTGAAAGCTTTCATGGGAAATATGATGAGAAATTTGCACCATACACCTTAAATATAATTTTTTATTACATTAATAAAACCAAGTAATAAATAATTGCAATTCAACCAATTCAGCACTTTTTATTTACAAAACTACAATGTCAATAAAACTTATCACCTTCCCAAAATCTAATCACGATACTCTCTCTCTCTCTCTCTCTCTCTCTCTCTCTCTCTCTCTCTCTCTCTCTCTCTCTCTCTCTCTCTCTCTCTCTCTCTCTCTCTCTCTCTCTCTCTCTCTCTTCTTTTTCTTCTTCTTCTCTCTCTTTCTCTTCTTCTTTTTCTACAAATTCACGATTAAATTTTTTTCTCTTCCTATAGTTGAAATTTTTATTTGTTATTTTTTTCTTTATCGGTCGAATACGGGCGACCCACGACTTAGTTGAGCGCAAGGTCGGCGGATCGATGGAGTGGCAGACCCGTCGAGAGTAAGGCGACCTTAAACCTCAATTGGGCACCATGAATTCGAGGAGACGCGCTGTCCCTCCAACGATCGGAGATAGCGGTTCGCCGACGCTAGCCCTCTAATTAAGCTTGGGGAAGGCAGCCCCAATTAGCCGACAACAAGGTTGAGAGTGTCAGGCTTTATCCGAGTGGCGACGAAGATGAACTCTGCCCTGGTAATGCCCATGATCTATGCGGCGGTTGCTACCGATGATGCTCCGCGAGGATATGGCCATTGATGGCGTGCTTACAGGGACGATGAATAAAAGGGAGAGAATTTTTTTTTTTTTTTTGCAGTATATGTTGCGTATATAGACTGTATATGTTCAGTATATATTTCCGTTGGCGTGCTTCTCATTTGGCCCATACTTAATTTTTTTTATTATATATTGACTACAATCACAATATATATAATTGTATATATTTTGTATATAATGACAAGATTGATTATCTCGTATTTTTGTATTCATGTCCTCCGTATATAATGTGTATATTTTTTGTATTTAAGTCTAATATTGTATGTTGCATGTAGTAAACCATAAAATATACTATAAATATACCGAAAATACACGAGATATAAATAACACAAAAAAGGATTACGAAGAGATAAAATTACCTGGTTTATTTTATATATTTTCTGGACTTATATATTGTCTGTATATTTTCTGTATATCTTATATATTATGTATATATTTAAAATTCAAAAGTTGTATCTTTCCTAATTCCACTCAACCACTTTCCTTATTTTCAGGATTTAATTACTTTCCAT